GAAGGTTTTCTTTCCAGTGGAGGGGCATTCCTCTGGATACAGAATGCCAGGCTAATGGCAACAAGCCTGGCTTTCTGAGGACCTGTCAGAGACAACTAACAAGTACCCCATGTGCTGCGAGATGAAAGCCAAAGGGAGGATTTCGGAAGAGAACATTTGGGTATGTTACGGCTAAGAGCAAGAGCCTGAAGGAAAGGCAGTTGTGCAGGAAAGGTGGGTTCCTTGGCATCATCCCACCCATACTGCTGGACGGTCCAGCGACCTCAGAGAAATGAGCATATTACTCTCTGCTCCACTCCCCTTATCCGTAAATCCAGGCTGGTTCATTACCACTGCATTTTTAGAGTCAACACATGAGGTTTAATTTATTAGTGCCCATAAAATCCTTTGCGTTCCAGGGTGGGAGTTTTCTGCAGCACAAACCTCACTGCAGCCTTCTGCTGCCAAAGCACGCCTGCCACTTCTTGGTGTTCACCAGACCACAGCAAGACACTTCCCGGGTAGCACCAGAATGAGATATTTTCCTCAGATGGAGTTCACTTTTCCTTCCTCTCACATGGGTTTTAGACTTCACGAAACACACCTCAGAGATCCCCACCTCCTCACCATGCAACCACAGCTACAAGACTGGGGCACTTCGCAGGCTCCAGCTCTCTCTGGTGAGGATGCAGCCCAAAACACGGCACCTCTGCTGCAAGTGGAAACAAGACCAGTCACCATGCTGAGAGGTTACCTCTTATTCCAGAGAAGGCCTGGACATCAGCGGAAACAGGATGAGAGCTACTGATACTTCAAAAGGGCACACACTGCTTGGCCATCAGATGGGAACAGTCTCCATTCACTCCTTACACTTCCTGGATTTCAGCTAGGGCATCATGCTCCCAAAGACAGGGTCAGGCAAGGACCCTGGGCAACAAGAAAAGGCAGGGACACAGCCAAAGACAAGTCAAGGTAAATGACATAAACAGGCACTCCCTGCCTGCTCTGTTCAGTTGGAGTCTCTCGGGAATACTGCCAGGTTTGGCTAATCCCCCTTTAGAAACACATTTCAAGCACTGTTTCTGAAGGTCCTCAAGGCAAGATAGCTTCAGCTATAAACCTTTGGGCTAAAGAGTGAAACCCAACCACGCTCAATTTACCTTCCCACCTGAGGGCACATCAGTGTTACACTGGCTTCTGGAGTTCCAGGTTTATGGCTCTACAACACAGGACAGGATAATGGACGCTCTTGCATCTTGTCTGAAAGATGCAAGACCAGAGGGATTTTCCTAGTCTACATGAGGAAGGAGATTGAAGGCAGCATTATGGGAAAGAGAAATTCCTTGTGTTTGCACTCAAACAATACCCCAGATGCTACTTCCCATTGCCACTACATGGGGAGATGCAGGGGACTAGAGCAGGGTAAAGAACATCAAATGAAGATGAAAAGGAACCAGAGAGAGCCTCATGCTCTACAACTGGATACCAGTTACAGGTCTACTCTTGAACATTCCCATATCTTTTCCAGTAAATACATTTCCACTTGATGCAGGCCCCTCCGAGCTACCCTCAAGCTACCCAGAGGACCCCAAGACTTGCACACTCACCCCCCAGCCAGACTCACCGCAAGCCATTGCAGAAGGGTTAAAAGGCTTCCCATATGGCTCTCATTGCTCTTCCTTTTATCCTGGTCATGCCCAGCAGGCAAAGGAGAGCTGGAGGAGGTAGGGAAGAGGTAGGGGGGTTGGAGAGGGTTAAACTTGAGTGAAGCAGGGAAATAGCCTGGCCATGGGTTTTGCCACAGCCAGCGAGAAGGCTGCCTGCCTCAGGGGACTATTAAAGGACTATGGTGACTTTCATCTCCAGGTCACTAGTTCAAATCTGGTCCAAGTCAGGGACAACAAAGGTATTATGTGAAATTAATTGCTGGTCTCAAGTCCAATTCCTAGTACATGTGTGTCCATTTCAGTTAAAACTTGCACCAGCTAAAGGCCGCTCAAGCACAGGGGCAGAGAAGTGAAGGGTGATGAAGCTCCCGCCTCATCCCCAGATGGAAACCTGCCTTCGGCAAAGGTCAGTGTGATCAAACAGTGCTTGTTGTCCTGCTCTCTCCATTTCCAGAGGTATTGTTCTCACATCACGTATGCTTTTGTGGAGAAGTAATTTCAAGATGTCTCAGGTTCACATACCCTGAGTCAATAATTTAGAGTAATAAGTAACCCCTAACATGAAGCTGGAATCTTTGTTTCCCAAAAGAAAATGTCTGAGACAACAGGACAATGTCAGATGGGGAGATTTATAGGGCAGGGACAGCCTTTTAGTTCTAATCTTGCACAACAGCTCCTCACCGTGCACAGGAATAAGGGCAGGCTGGAGGACCCCTCACTGTTTTGAGCCATTACTGGACAGCACCACTTCTTGCTCCTGGCAAGAACCAGTACTCTCATTGCTCTGCTAAAGAAGAGAAGTGAAAACATTTGAGGTAAAGCCACTCACCAAGGTGTTTAAAAAACAAACCTAAATATCAACATCCTTTTCAAGTCACATTCACGGAAAACTGTCTCGGCTGCTTCAACAGAGCAGGAAACCACTGGACACAAGCAAGAAGGTGCACAACAAATTGGCCATGTTAGCAAACCAACAGTTCACACCAGCGGTGCTCCAGATGGTACCTCCATCCCATCACGTGAGACATGGGGAAAAACACACCATGAACCTGCCTTAATTGTTCCCATGGTGCCTTCAGGGCTGCCAGAAAACAGCTGTACCGAGTACAAAAGGGCATTTGATAGTCTTGCTGGACAGTGTGCTCACAGAAGAGCAATGTAAACACACTGCTCAGGAGGCTGAGCCATGACTTCAAGAGCTCCCAGCATTTATTTTCCATCTTTAAACTAAGCAACACAGCTCTACCCAGGTCTCACACTGGAGCAGGCAGTTGAAGGACTGCACTCCAGCCACCAGGACAGGCTGACCCCTCGGCAACGCTCACCCATGACACACACCAGCTCCCTCATGCTGAGCAGAAGCAATACCTTGTTTAATTTCTCTGTTGAAAATCACAGCAGATGGCCCCAGCTGGGAAATGGTGCTCTCCCCTGCAGTTCCAGCTGCATCTCTCCTGTCTGCTTGCCTCTCCCAATTAGAAGCAAATCTGCCTCCTGTCAGGCAGCAGTTCATTCTGCCCCTACAGCCCACCCCATACTGGCTCCCATTTAAAAATAAAAGATTGCCTTTTCCAAGCTGCTTTTTGCTGCGTGCACTGACAATAATTCTGTGGAAATTGGTTGTAGCCACCGCTGATGACCATTAGCTTGCTGACCTGTTTTGACTTCACCATCAGCTTTGAATATCAAATCAGTGATTAACGACTTCCAGTAATGACCCTGCCAGAAGCATCCCTGTGTTTCTCCAAGAAGGTACCCTCTGAACTAGATCATTACAGGAGCTTGTCATTTGTCAGCAATTTAAAAGCTGATAAGTCAGCAGTGTGCACTCAGGAATGAGACTGTGCTGGTTTCAGTGATGTCTATTGTACTTTTCCTTTTTCACTGGCAGACGTAGATACAACTTAAATGGTTAAGACCAGCCTTGTTTGGTTAACATCATCTGAGATATTAGTATGAGGAGAGTCACTCCTTACTTGCCCCTTTCTGAAAGCATCTAATATTGACCATCTACAGCTGTGATTCAAAAAATACATCAAGTCTAGATTTTGTTGCCCAGTTGTAGCTCAAAGACATGATAAAAATGATACAGAATACAGTTCTACTCATTTTTTCCCACCGCCAAAAAATGTTGGCAGATTAATTCTGACAGATCAGGTGTCTGTGTTGCATTAAATAGCGTTCAACTTGCTACACATCTACTTCCTCAGCATACAAGAGTAAAAAACCAGTGCAAGTTCTGTACATGCCCAGATCAGCCGTATCACTGACTGGTCCACTGCACAAAGCCAGTACTAATGAATACAAAAGTACAACCTCACAAGAACTCTGGGCAAACCAGGCCTTTGGTCTGCTCAGGTACCTTAAGCTCTTCATAGAAGAATAAAGCTTTGACAATGCAACAAAGCCCAGACCAGAAAACCCAACCAGAGGCAATACATGCACCCTAACGAGAACATCCAGTCATTCCTTTGATACTTTTACAGGGGCTTTCTAAAGAGCTCCCTGGAGCTGCATCAAGACCAAGCACTGCAAAGAGCAGGTGAGCCATGCTTGGAACCTGCCTTTACATCTGCAAGAGCTTTATGGTCCTGGAGAGAAAAAGAGAGGAAGAGGGGATGCTTTAATGAGGTTTTTACCAGTGCCCAGCACTGCAGAGAAGTTGTATGATGCTTGCTACACCCCTTCATCCTGCAGGAAAGGAAAACCCTTTGTGTGAAGAATTTAAAGGGCTCTGAGACATCGAAGGTACCATCTTTCAACAGATGGCTGGGGCCATGAAGCAATTCCACAAGCAAAGGAAAAATATCCAGTATTTTCAGAAAACAAAAAGCAAAATAAACAGCAACAAAACTCCACCCACCAAATGCATTATGCCCTTACAGACTTGATTCATCTAGGAGAAGACAGCTAATTAGGCTTGCTGGATTGCATTTGGGGCACAACTTTTCCTTACCTCAGTTCCTTCTTCGTTGCAAAGTGTTAGCTCTCACTCAAAGACAGGCAGAAATTCCTATTTCCTTTGGACACATCTATTCCAACTGTGAGCAACAGCTGTAATAATGAAGTCCCAGGAGGAAGGAAACCATCAGGCAAAACCTGTCATTCACATCAGTATCACCAGCACGCTCACAGACACAGAGAAAAAAGCTGCTCTTCTCAACCCTGTTTCTCCTGAACATAACACTGACACAGAGCCCAACACTTGATACAGCAGCGCGTACAGAGCTATCTCTGCTTGCTTACCGTGGAAGTGCCACAGTAGAAGCAGAAAGGTGCAACTTTCTTTTCCTTACAAGCAGTAGAACAAGCAGACACCAGTTAGGAAGCCCTGACAAGTCTCCCTTCTCCTACCTGTCTTGGGAACTTTCTTCAAAGCAGTTTTGCTTGCTCCACTGCAGTCTCATTCCCCACCACAGAGCTCTCTTGGGTTGGTTTTTGAATCCTTCCACTTGATTCGAAGCAAGTTTCCAAATCATAAAAACTCAAATACCAATAACTAAACCTTTCCTCCTTTTAAGCAACAACTATTGCCTTTCCAACCTTCCTTTAGGAGGTTCAACGAACAACAGCTTCCTCCAAGGACCCAATCAGAGGTTCTTATCAATTAGGGCAATTGGCACCCAGCTGAGCCTATCTCCCAGCTGGGACCCATTAACACCCAATTAAGACAATCCCAGGCCCTGCCCTCCTCCCTCTTAGAGTTCTCCTCTCTATCAATGCACAGATCTGCACAAACCCCTCTCAAAGCCATGTTGTTGTCAACCCATGGCATGTCTGGAAAGGCAAGGATAATAATAATGAGTGTAATGCACAGGCTGTGTTCTCAGGGTGTTCTAGCATTCAAACTGTAATCAGCATTGCCCCCATGACACACACAGGACAACACCAGACTCCTGAGGGAAAAGCAGAGGTTTGGAAGGTGTGGGGTGCCCCCAAGCAAAGCTAGCTTGCTCTTGGTGGTATCAGGTAGGGGATCAGTCCCTGGTGCCTTCTGCTATGTGCAAGATCCAATATTTTGTTGTTTGTGAGAACAGCATCTGCACTTTTCATGGTCCTGGGTAGATCTAAGTCACCTTTTCAAGGGCTTTTTTTGTTTTATCTAATCATAAAGTTCAGAAAGCAAATAATAGCAACCCAACACACAGGAAACCAAAGAGCTCGATAATCTTCTTTAACCTTGTGCTTTCTTTAAAGTCTCAGTTCACTTTGGTTAGTTGTTTGGAGCTGATGTCCTGGGGTGCTTTAATGCAGCTGGGCAAAGCAGGGAGCTGGCTCAGTTGTCCTCTACGTCCTCTGCTCCACTAGTTTCATAAAAGCCTCCTCCACATGGTCCCCCAAGGCTGCAGCCCCTGATCATCCACATAGCCCTGGGCAATGGAGAAACCAGTCCTCCTCTCCCCATTCCTTGCCATAAGCCTTCTCCTCAGTAGTGCTGAACCCCCTCCAGCTTCAACCTAAGGACACTTTACATCCCCTGTCAAACCCACAGGAAAACAGCTCATGGTCCTTTTGCCCATAGGGTTTGATCTCCATCCACCTGCCTGCTTGTTTGTTCAGGAGCTGTGTCCTGCTCAAGCATGCAGCCCTGAGCAAACCAAAGCTGCCAGGGAGCAGCACATGGTCCTTCCTTGCTCTCCGCAGTGATTTATTTCTACACCACACATCTCCAAACAGCACACCAACGTTTGGTCTAGTTTTAATATAGACATTAAAATATCCATGCCTGCAATTCCATGTGTATATAAAAGCAGGGGGACAGGGAAAGGGAAACTTGTCAGATGACTTAGCAACTCAAAGCCAGCCAGAAAGCATTTCTCCCATGTTTCTGAAATTAACTGGTACACATTTGACTTCAAGGTAATAAACAGTACAGACATTTTCCAGACATATTTGTCTCACTGAAGGAGGACGCAGCAGGAGACTGGGTTAGTGAGCTAGTTTTTGTCTCTGCTGTTCATGTTCTGCATGAAACTGAAGCAGTACTTCCAGAAAAGTCATCCATTTCCAGGCAAAAATCACTTTCTTTTCCCCTTCTCTTGTCTGCTCTTCCAGGAGGTTCAGGGAATTCACATCAGAATCAAGCAATAGTCCCATCATCTCACTGATGTGGTTCAGCTCATAGGAGAGGGAAGAATCAGCGTTGCCCTGAGAGATGGGCTTTCTGTCCCTGCCTGGTGCATGAACACCATCTGTCTCAAGTGTCTGAAGTAATTTGCTTCTGATTTTTGAGGTGTTTGAACTGATGGTATTAATTTATGTTCAGCATATTAGACTCCTACGGATTCTTGTCGGGACCGACCATCTAATCACTCTCCTATTTAAGCCTGAATGTATTCTGCTCATGTTTTGAGATCAACCATGCTATGCCTGAACCCTGTAATGACTGTTACTACTGCTTTTATGAGTGATCTCCTAATTGCCCATTTGTCCTGCAGTCCCAGATGCCAGACATCCCACCAACATGTGCATCACCTTGCGACTGGTCAGTCACCCAAACCCACCAATGGCTGTGATGGCTTGGTGTACCTGGGGATGTTGTGAAGGTGATGTGGGTGTGCTTCGGGTGTCCCAGACCTTCTAAGCAAAACCAACAGTGAATCACTGAGTTCATTTAGAGGGAACAGACTCTTACCAGTAAGATCTCTCTTAGGAATTTTGCACCAAATTGAGGAGCAGAGAGTGCTAACTCAGGCAAGGAGAAATACAGCACCTTGCACAACAGAGCTCTGATCAAGACTGGGCTTCATGGGCTCCACTTTCTCCCTCCTGTACAAATAATTACAAGAAAAGATGACTAAAGATATAGCCAGACCAGCCTGGAAGTAAGAATCTCCTGAGATCTATAGCCAACGCCAACACTTACTCTTTCAGCAATCTCAGGAAAGTCATTTAACCATCCCATCTCCGGTTTCTCTCCTGTAGCACACCTCATCTGTCACACAACTAGAGCAATTCAGGTGATTATGAGCAATGAGCCCCACTTTGCTCTCTCCTAAGGCTGCCTACATCGGTGGCAGAGGGATTAGCACAGGAGCCTGAATCCCCTCATGTGGCCCACCTGAGATTTAACCGCTATTTATGGCAAGGCAGCAGCATCTTCTAAAGGTCATGTCCTAAAAGCGAGCCAAATTGTCATCCAACATGGCCACAAAAAGACACAGGCTCTACATAAGGTTTCCTTCCATATGTGTATGGGCCTGGAAGGAATAAGTCTACCCTTCTTAATGGAAGGTAGGAAATTGTTTATATTCTTCTCATTAAAAGCTGCCTGGTATTTTTTTTCCCCAGAAATTAATAGTTTCACCTATTGCTGAACTGCTGCTATTTCTAGTGAGAACTTGGCCAGAGAGCCAGATGAAAACGCACTGCACAGTTCCTCCCAAGGAAAGAAACAGGTGAAGGAGCCATCCATCACCACATCAAAGCAGAGCTCGCCCCTTTGTAGTGCCCATGAATGAGGCTCGTTTTGTCCTCCTAACAAGTGGGTCCTACGCGGAAGATGCTGCATTGATTCTCCAGCAGCTACTTTTAACGGCTGCGGCAAAACCAATCAACTTGATGTCATCGACGGCTTTTGAGACATTGACTGAGGCTCTCTGGAGGGCGAAGGGGACAATATAACCTGGAAAGCCCTCCTTCCTTTCAGCCTGCCCTGCACTTCCCCTCTCGCCTTGTTCTTCCTCTCCTCTTTATTAAGCTGCTTTTGTGGGGCTTTGACCCATTCTCTCCAATAGTGAAAAGTCTAAGTGAGTGAATCTCCTCCTCCTCTCTTTTTTTTTTCTCCCCTTTTCTATCCTCCTTTTTCAAAGTAGTGCTTGCAAGGGATGGCAGGGCTTTCAGCTCCCTGGGGTCCCTGCCATGCCGCTTTGTTGCCTGCCTCAGCATTGTGCTTCCCAAGGCAGTGCAGGTGCAGCAGGGTTTTGTCTGGGTGTTAAACAAGGGCTAATTAGTCTGAGGGAGGGGAATGGGGACTGCAGATCATTGTACAGAGTCATTCAGGTTCCACAGGAACTGGGATCTGCCTGTTTAGCGCAATCCTGGCTTCTTTCTGTCCCCGCTACAAGACAGGAGGCAGGATCACACCCCGCGTGGGTTCAGTCGCCTCCTCTCCCCTTTTATTTACCACTATCCATGGAATCATGTCTGATAGGGAGAATGAATTGCCATCAGTGCTCCCACAAGCCGGGAATGGTGAAATGACACACTGGCTCAGGAAACTGGGGAAAGACACAGAGGCCAATGAAATACAAATAACCTGCACGTAAAGTACTGCAGGCAGCTGGCATTGAGGGCTGGTAAGTGAGGGTCTGCCCTGACTTCAGCAGTTTTTCTTTGCAAGCTCTCATGAAAATAATTCCATAATGCACACCATATGCCATTTATGTGGCATTCAATCTGGATATTTATTTTGAAAGACAAGAGTCTTTGCTCGGTTTCATTTACCACTAAAAAGGAGAAAGAAGAGGCATAAAGGAAGCAAAAATGGAAATCCTTTGACCCAAACCCAGAACTCCAATGACAGCAGTTTCACCAAGTAACAGTTTCATCCCATGTATTAGCGTGTGCTTGCTCTGAGGTGTTTGACACCAGTATCCTCCAGAGCAGCACTTGAACACATACAGCGTAAACCATATCCATGGTCCATGCCCATGAGCCAGGACACAAACCTCCGTAACCTGGTAGAAAGAAAATGAGAAGCTGCTGGGAGTTGAGGACTATATGTCCTCTTGGGTCCTCTGACCTCACATTTCCAGTGTGAGAGTTCCTCCTTATTCACATCTCCCGTTTGTAAGCTCAGCCAGGCCAGAGCAAACTCCGTGTTGATTTAGCAGTGTTTTACATTTACTTTGGACTCGCTTTGTGCTGGTGTGAATAACTGCGTAAGTATCAGGCAATCAGAGGAGCAAAGATGTGCAACTAAAGCAAAATAAGCCAGGCAAAAACCTGTACGGGAACAGTTCCAGAAAATCAGTGGAGTATTTTTGATGTACAGAAGTTATGCATCTACATTAAGTCTCGGTCTAGGTAAAGGTTGCTGGGTAACTGCTGCAGTTCAGGTCAGAACTAGAATCTCTTCCCTTGTGCTTTCCCCTGTGAAGCAAAGGACAGTTTTGCAAAGCCTGTGTTTGTGGGAGTTTTCCACAAAGGGTTTCAGGCAACATAAAATGTTCCTGGCACCCTTTTCAGCTGTGTGTCCCAGAGACACTTAACTCTGTACTTAATTCAGGTTTAATAGGCTGTGATTATATTAAATAAATACCAGCTGAACTGATTATTTAATACCTAGTTATAGCTGTTTAACAGCCATGCAATTGCCTGTTATATCTCAATAAATGTATGTTTTCCACCGATCCCCCAGTATTTTATTTCACATCCCATCATTTTCCTATATAACTCTTGGACCTTCAAAACACTGCTGGGGGTTGCCTGCCGCACTGATCCCTGCAGTCACCACAGGAACATGCCAGAGAGCCATTGCTTTTCCAGGGGCTCATCACAGGTTAGGCCACCATGACCGGCTCCCTTCCACCTCCTCCTTGGATCCTCAGGTGATGCAAAATGCTTCTTCTCATCCGTTCCAGCCATCTCCAGCTGCTCCATGCTGGTGAAGCAGCTGCACCTCTCCACCCCAGCACTGGCCTCCTTGCAGGAAGTCAGAGATCATTCTGCTCTCA